TTCCATTTTAACTATTTTAAGAGTATAATAATTCACTGACATTAGTTAAACTTCCCATGTTATGGTATCCTCACCACTACCAACTTCCAAAATGCAGGTGATTTATTTTAAAGCAGGTACATGTTCTTTATAGAACATCAATATTATTCATGCTTATATTTCCTTGAGATAACCATCATAGAATAGTTCATTCAAATCTTTTTATGCATATATTTATGATCATATTATATACATATATATATATTTATATGGCACCATAGGATAAGCACTCAACTTCAAGGTTGGTTTGAACTGCAAGGTTGGTGGTTCAAACTCACCAGCCGCTCCTCAGAAGCCCTATAAAGGGTTGCTATGAGTCAGAACTAACTTGACAGCACTTAACAATGAATAATAACAACAACAACAACAACATGTAGTTTTGAGTAACAATATTCTTTATAAGTATTTTCTGCATAATTTTATATTCTTCTAAAATGTTATTTTAAATATTATTTTATTCTTTAAGCACGATACTTTAGTTAGCCATTTCCAAGCTACTGGATATATAGGCCACGTCCAAAGTTTTCAATGATAAGTAACTGAGGTGAGCATCCTTGTAAGGAAATCCTTTAGTCACATAGTGATTTCTATAGGTTATATTCATAGAAGTGAAGTTAGTGAGACAAGAGGTAGATACAATTTTAAAGCCCTGCGTACACTTGGCTCAACTGACTTTTGGAAAAGTGGTACCAATCTATCTCTTTTTCGGGAGTAAGAAATTAGGAGGGAAAAAAAATGCTACATTTGGGGATTTGAAAATCAGTGGCACATGATGAGGATGTGGTGACATTGGATTCCTTATACACTCTGAGTAGGATGGAAAATCATCCATTCGCCTTGGAAAACAGTCTGGCAGTTCCTCAAAAAAGTAAACGTGGTGTTATTATATTCCACTCCTAGGTATATACCCAAGAGAAATAAAAAAATATACCCACACAAAAGCCTGTGGATACAAACACACCACTATTCATAGGAGCACTATTCAGAAGAGCCAACAAATACAAACAATCCAAACATCAATCGATGAATGTATAAGTAAAATATGTTATATCCAGACAGTAGAGCATTGTTGTTGTTAAATGCCACTGAGTCACTTCCAACTCATAGCGACCCTGTATAGGATTTCTGAGGAGTGGCTGGTGAGTTTGAACCACCGACCTTGTGGTTCAAACCAAACCTGTGGTCCAGTGGTCCAGTGCTTTACCCTATAGCACCTGACTCCATTGGGCAATCAGAATGAATGGAGTACTGATATGTGCTACAACAGGGGATGAAATTTGAGAGCATCATGCTAAGTGAAAGAAGCCACAAAAGACCATAAATTGTACGATTCCATTGTTGTAAAATGTCCAGAGACAGGGAGTCCCTGAGTGGTACAAATAGTTAATGTGGGCAGGAGGTTCCAGTCTGCCCAGAGGTACCTGGAAAGAAAGAACGGGTGATTTCCTCCCCAAACCCAGCCTTTGAAAACCCTGTGGAGCACTGAACTAGCCTGGTCACCACAAGTCAAGAGTCTACTCCAAGACACCTGGTCTCCAGGCAGAAAGCAGGTCAGCGGCGGCTTAGGGTTGGGGGTGGGAGGACTGGCAGGTGATACTGAAAGGCAACCAGGTTTCTTTTTAGAATGAGAAAATATTCTAAAGTTTATTTTATTGACTATTACTCAACTCTGAATAGACTTAAAACCACTGAAATAAATACTTCCAATGGATGAATTACATGTTATGTGAATTATATATCTCAATACAGCGATCACACACACACAAATCAATGACTCAATTTGAATTAAAAAAATACTTAGGAATATTAAGTTAAATGTATTCTTTCTATAGCATATTTGAGTCCTAGTGTGGCACCGTAGTAAGCACTGGACTGCTAATCACAAGGTTGGTAGTTCAAATCCACCAGCTGCCCTTGGAAACGCTATATAGAGTCGGTGGCACACAACTACCACAAGGTTGGCAGTCTGAACCTACCAACCTCCCTGTGGGGGGAAAAATGTGGTAGTTTTCTTCCATAAAGATGACCCCATGGGAACCCTATGTTGCTGTTGTTAAGTGCCACCGAGTTGGTCCCAACCCACAGCCACCCTGCATAGGTTCCCAAGGAGTGGCTGGTACATTTGAACTGCCGACTTTGCAATTCAAACTGACCCTTGGGTCAAGCGCTGATCTTACAGTTGCCACACAAGGACTCCATATGGAAACCCTATGGGGCAGTTTTAGGGTGTCCTGTTGGGTTGCTATGAGTCAGAATGGACTTGGTAGTTTTTGTTGTTGTTGTTGTTAAGTACCATGGAGTCGGTTCTGACTTATAGTGACCCTGTACAGGGTTTCTGAGGCTGTAAATCTTTACGGAAGCAGAAAACCTCATCTTTCTCCCGCAGAGCGACTGGTAGTTTCGAACTGCTGACCTTAAGGTTCGCAGCCCGATTCATAACCACTATGCTGGTAGCATATATAAAATTTCCCAGCTATCCTAAATTTATAAACTGAAAACAAACAAACAAAAACTCAAAGCAAGAGATTGGGAGAAGAAATTAAATTATGAATTAGCTCACCACAGATGAACACCAGCATTTCCAAAGCCGATGCCAGCAAAAGCGCTCGCCAAGTGCATTTTAGACCTTGCTTCAAGATCGTCAGGATTTCTGACAGCCCTGTAAATGACATCAATAACTAGCCATAACAACAACACTGACATTTCCTACTGGATAAAGAACTACCATGGGGAAAGAACTGAGGGGTGGAGGGGTGGTGGGGAAATGCTACTCAGTAGGAAGAAAAATTAGGCAAGTAATTCAAACGACATCCTGTCTTCTGAAGGCAAAGACAAACATATTTTCCCACCAATGGTTTCAGCAAAGGCATAATAAATATGTTGTCAGCCTGCTCATGTGATAGAATGGTGCCCAGAGGAGCGAAGCACTGACCCTTGGACTGCAAGAGCTGCACCCCAGGACTCATTCTTCTTCTTCACTTGTCAGTGACCATGACTGAGGCTGCAAATGGACTCAAAGTAAACATGTGTTCACAAAGCCGGCCGGCCGTGCTGGGCTCACTGACGTGTGCCCAGCCACTGGGTCTACCTGCAGGCCAAATGCAGCCCAGGCAGCTCAGATGGAGCCCACTTCCTGGAGTTGGTGGAAAGTGCACATGTATTCTAATATTTATTATTGTGGAAGTGTGATGTTATTGCACAGCAAACCTTTGCTTACTCTGTATGTCCCTAATGCCACTTCACAAAAGCAAATTCTGAAAGGCCCCATTCAGATTTGCTCACACTGCTTGGAATCACTGAACCTGGACAAAGCCACTTCTCACTTGGCTCCCTCCGATTTCGTGTTAAGGACTCCTGTATGAAAGACAAGTGCTATATCCCTTTTTTCCTCGTTCTCATTTTAGGCATTTTTGCCTTCTTTCCAAAGCTCCATATCAGTTCTTTACACCCCTTATAACAAGTAGCTGATGGTGGAGATTTCAGACTTACATTAGTCTACTCTCTCACCTTCCACACGAGATCTGCCTGGACTTCTGTCTCTGGTCAAGCACACTGTGCCCACTCCCACCTTGTCCAATGCTGTTGTGTCTCTGTGGTGGTCTCCATGCTTCCCCTCTCTCAGCTATGGACTGCAGCTCCAAGTGCACCTCTCCCAGGGAGCCTTTGATTTCAAGGTCCCATGCTCTGTCTGGTTCTCCTTGTCTAGTGCCCTTTCCCTTCATTATGTGTAAAGACAAACTGAGTCTGTCTTGGCATGTGTCTTCATGTCAGTTATTAGCCTTCATCCCTAAGTATATCTTTGCTCACTCAGGAGCCTCTTGTGGTGATGCCATTCATAATTCCTTCAAAACCCTTTTGGAATCCTTTAATAGTTTCTCTTTCAAATCTCCTGGGACTATGAACTCTATATATTCATTTCTTAAATTGAGTTCCTATGTGTTCGTGCAATGGGTCAATTCCGTGACCTTTGGACAGGGCCCAGAAGTGCACAGCCAACATCTGACTCTGTAGTTCTCAGGTCTGTCCAGGGTGGTCAAACTTCAAAAGACATCCCACTTCATACTAGCTTTGCTTTTGAGGATTTTAAGTCCAGGGTGGTCAAACTTCAAAGGACATCCCACTTCATACTAGCTTTGATTTTGAGGATTTTAAGAATACACTTCCATTTATCCTATCTGCATCCTTCCTAATTTGTTGTTAAGTGCTGTCGAGTCAGTTCTGACTCATACAGACCCTGTATAGGGTTTCAAACTTCCAGAGGTTTGAACTACTGACCTTATGGTTCACAGCCCAGTACTGATCCGAAAGTACCACACCGGGACTCCTATTTTGTCAACTCTGACCCAAGCCAAGGTATTTCAATTGCCTCATATGCATATGAGAACTGAACAATGAATAACGAGGACCAGAAGAGAATTGATGCATTTGGGTCACAGTGCTGAAGAAGAATATTGAATATACCATGGACTGCTAGAAGAACAAATCAATCTGTCTTGGAAGAAGAACGCTCCTTAGAAGTGGGGCTGGTGAGACTTCATCGCATGTACTATGGAACAGTTCTTGGAGAATAACATCATTCTTGGCAAAATAAGGGGTCAGCAAAAAAAAAAGAGAAGACCCTCAACAAGATGGATTGACACAGTAGCTGCAACAATGGGGTCAAACATACCAATTGTGAGGCTGGTGCCGGACCGACAGTGTTTTGTTTTGTTGTCTACATAAGGTTGCTGAGTCAGAACTGACTTGATGGCACCTAACACCACCACCAACAACATTTTGTTGCCTCACAGCTGCCTTTGCCTTACCAGACAGAAGGACCCAGATTTCATCTGTCCTTAGGGAGCACCCCACCAACCCATATTCCTTCCAAGCAGTACTTCTCTGTGTCCACTGATTGAGCTTCTAGTGAATGGCCTGGCTCAGGACATTTCTGAATCAAGCACGTCACATTTTATAGGAAGGTAGGTTGTACTTTTTCTGTTTTGTGTCTATTCCCTCTCTGTTGAGTGACATACCTTTTCAGATACTTAGCAACGATCTGCAGTGCGTGCACTGCCCAAATGTCGCTGATTGGGTTGCTGCCCTGGTACGCTGGTCGGGTGACAGGACTGGAAGGGCAGGGACTTCGCAGGTGGTAGGGGAGAGCAGTGTAGGACTCCAGGGCGTGGCTAGCAAGAAATATTCAAAATACATGGATTGAGCATGCTGTCTTCATCCTTCCCTCTCCACTCAGATTATAAATTGTCTTTGAAATACTTGGTATGTGTTCCCTGTGAGAATTATAATACAGGTCATCCGTCCGTTTTTTGCCCATTGACAGTCATCAGTATTATAGAAATGAATATGTGACATTTATATGAACAGCAATGCATATTATTTTTGATCACACATGGCCCCTTTCCAGTATAAATAAATCTGTATGGTGTTACACTATTTAAAAAAAAAACACAAAACAACAAAAAATCAAACCTGTAAAACAACTTCCTTGTATAAGCTACATGTCATCTTATATCCTGGGATATATCATGTTACCAAACGTGGGTCACTGTTAACTGTTGTTGTTGTTGTTAAGTGACACTAAATTGGTTCCAATGCACAGGGACACTGTATAGGGCTTCCAAGGAGCAGCTGGTGAGTATAAACTGCTGATCCTGTGGTCAGCTACCCAGTGCTGATCCTATAGCACTATCCCATGACTCCTGCTAATCTCTGTTTCATCAAGAGTACAGTGCAGGGGGTAAGAACCAGACTCTGGAGTCCAGCACCCAGATTCCTGACAACTAACCTTGATTCTACTAATCTATGAACGCTTATCAAATGCTCTGAGCAATAAGATATGGCTTATTGACCCAAGTACTAAATATAGTCCCTCCAAGTTGGATCAGGACCTACCAAAGCACATCGAAGCCACTGTTAGCCACCACCCAGTGAGGCATGTGCAGGGTATGGAGAGGGTCGATCAATCCCAGTGTGGGTTTGATGGCTCTTGAAGCAATGCCTAAAACATAAGGATTTTCAATAAAGGCTCAAGGCATGAACACCATTTAAAAAATTAAATAACTTCTATAATGATCCTACCGAAACTACATGATAAGATTCATTCCCATGTAGGGTGGCAGAAAGGCGCAGTGCACAGAGATTGGGAGTCAATAACCTGGATTTTTCAGTGGCATGCTGGATCTGGTTCTACTGGTGCAGATAAACCAACTGTACGCATCCCAACTCTGAGCTGAGTAACATCATTGGCCATGGTGGGCGTGTCAATAGCAAAGAACTCAGCAAACACCACAAATCACAACTTTTAGCTTGTTTTTAATTTCAGAGATCTGGTTTACCAGCATACCACAGTTTGGTCCTTGTTCTACAATTTATTTTGTGTCTTTGGGCAGGTTACTTAGCTCCCTGAGTGCCCTCTTTTTTAACAGTAGATTTTAATAACACAGGGCCTCTAGTCTAGTCCTTTCAGAGCTGTGGTAAAGGCTCAGGTGAGACAAAATTATGTAAAAACTTTTTTAGAAAACTATAAAGCAGAACTTAAATGTTGGTCACTGTTATTAATATGATCTTTGACAACATCAAAATACAATTTAACTCTAAAAAGAAAAGTTACTCTAAATGGGCAGATGAAGGTCCATTTTAGTCTGCTATAAAGGCCATGTTGTGCCTAGGGTCGCTATGAGTAGATTATCGACTCGATGTCACCTAACAACAACAAATAAAGGCCATGAAGAAGACTATGGAGCCAGAATCCTGGAGAGGGATATTTCTACCACATTAGCCGAGAATAAGTAAGAAATGGCAGAGAAACTGATAAAGACAACCGAGAAGACAGAAAACAGAACAATTGTTACCTGAGCATGAGGGAGAAGTGAGCATGAGGGAACCTTCTGGCGTGATTAAGATTAAATTCAACTGTGGTGGCGGTAATGTGAGTGCATATACCTGCCAAAATTCCTGAAAGTGGAACCTTACAATGGGTGTATTTTGCTGTATAAAAATGATATCTCAATAAAGTGGATTTAAGAAATGAAAAAGATGGCAAAGAAAGGAAACAAGCATTTTCATTGACACATAATGACTAACTGGGGCAGAAGAAAGGTCAATCAAAGTTTATGGATATTTCCAGACGTTTCTCATAGACCATTATCGAAAGAAATTTGGTTGACTGATTTATATTTTTATATGTACTTGGAAAAAGAAATAAAACCCATTTACTCTTAATTCCACAATGCTTTAACTTTTAAATATCAGGATTAAAGAACAGGATAATGACAGATAGGAGAAAGGATTAAAAACACAAAACAAAACAAATCTGGGCAAGGTTCTTACCAGTTTTTACTTTCAAGTGTTCATAGTCAAAAATGGCCACCCCTGTAGTTTCACTCCCGGTTCCTGAAGTAGTTGGGACTTGAACAAAATAATGTTAATTATAATAAGGTATATAAATAAAGGTAAAGGAGTCCCTAGGTGGTGCAGAGATGAAGCACTAGACTACTCGCAAATATGCTGGCAGGGTTACCTCGGATCAGAGACCTGGCAATCCGCTTCCAAAAGCCTTAACGACCTTAGGAAGCAGGGAGTGCCGACTCTGTACAGAGGTCGCCATTACATCAGCTTGATAGTAACCAACAGCCATAACAAATAAATGAACTTGTTTTAATTGCCATTTAAATCGCCTCTGAGGAGTCCTGTGTGGTGCTGTAGGTTAATGCGCTGGACTGCAAGGTTTTTTGGATTGTAAAGTTGGTGGTTCAAGCTCACCAGCTGCTCCTCGGAAACCTTACACAGGGTCGCTATGGGTCGGAACCGACTCAAAGGACTTAACAACAAAATCGTCTTCGGAAGCAGAAAGTCTTATCTTTCTCCTACAGAATGGCTAGTGGGCTCAAACCGGCCAACCTTGTTGTTCGCAGTCCAATGCTTATCCTAGGAAGCCATAGTGCTCTTCAAAGATACGTGTTGTTCCAACTCACAGAAGTGGCTGGTGAGTTTGAACTGGCGACCTTGCGGTGCAAGCTAACCCAGAGGTCCAGCACATTATCCCACAGTGCCACACCAGGGGTCCTGGTTCCACATTAGAAACAAATGAACAGCATTAGTACAGACGCGCTGTGCTGTGCATTGTGTGTGTGAACAAAGAGGTGCTATAGCGACCTCAGCTCCTTCAGTTCTGTAGCTAAAGCAGCTGCAGCTGCTGTGCATTCAGACGCTGGCGTCTCCTGCAGGAGAATCCCCTTTGCTGTCTCTAAAAGACATCTTTATTCCCTCTTGGCTGCAAGAGCAGTAACACTTTGCCTTTGCTGGGCTCGCGGTTTTGTAGCTCTGTCAAGTTTCTAAACTTTACTAACACCCCTCTAAACTTTACTAACACCCCTCTAAACTTTACTACCACCCCTCTGTGTGATGCTGACACATCTTCACCAGCAGGCTCCATTTGCCAGACATCAATTAGGCTGATTCCTAATTTATGTCAAAACAGTTCATCTGCCATCAACTAACCTGCACACCATCACTAGGCTCTTTAAGGAAGAGAGAATGAGAGAGGAGAGAAAGAGAGAGGGACAGACTGTCCGTCACTTGAAGGATCATTTCCAGTTATCAAGATAGTACATCTTAGCTAAAAAAACTCTAAAGTAAGAATGAGCTAGCAGTCATAAAAATGGGAGGGAAGACAAGACCGGAAGACCCCAAGGTCCCCTGTGGAGCTGACATGCCATTCTGATTGGGATTTGCATGTCTGCCCAACACAGCAGATGTTGCTCAGCACAGTGAGTCCCTGCTGGCCACATGTCTCAGGGAGGAGACAAAGCCTGAGGTCAGCTGATGAGCACTCATCTGGAAGAAAGGGTTGGGTCAAAACAGAAAAATAATAGCAAACATTCCTCTTAAACTTCACAGTGGCTGGCAAAATGGGTCAGGGTAGAAAGGGGTTTAGAGAGATATAAGAATATGTATATATGATTCTCTCCCCGACTCTCCATCCCATATAGTGACTTCATTGTTTCAATTTGCAAACTTTCCTACCATTGACCCAAACTGTCTCATAATGATGATCAGGATTCTAAACAACAATGAATTGCTATCTGTTTTGCTCTCTAAACAAGCATGATACTGAAATGAAGAAAAAAGTATCAGGAAACTTTAGAAACATATACCCTAAAATTACAAGTTTACATCTTTCCTAAGACCTTTTGGTGACTGTAAAGTTTAAAAAAACCAAATTCAAAATCCAAAATGTTTACCTGCAATCAGAGGTTTCAGAGGCACGGACACAGGCTTTCCCTTCCCAATGGGGGCATTCACATAATCCAGAAACTCAGAGTAAGGGCTTGAGGAATACAGATTAGCGGCTTTACAGGTGTCTATGGTGGAGCCGCCACCTACAGCCACAAAGGCATCAAAAGCTCCCTTTTTGGCAAATTCAATCGCTTCCACGAAACTTGGAGAAGGTTAAAAAGAACAAAAGTCACATTTATCAGAAGTAAACTGCCATGCCAATAAATAAAGTCTGGAGCAAGTTTTGAACAGTGACACTTGACTTATACTTCCAGTAACCAACAACAACACAAGAATACCTTGCATCTGTTGGCTCCACCCTCACACTATCATAGACTTTAAAGTTGATCCCATTCTTAACTAAGGAATCCATAACAGCTTGTGCAGGAGGGAGTTGGGAGAGATTCTTGTCTGTCATCAAACAAACATTTTTAGCGCCCATGTTTTGCAGGTCCTATGATAACAACAAAAAGAACTCACCAGTTAGATTGCATTGCACTAAAATGGAAACAGACTTTTTTTTGATAAACTCAACATTGTTCATTAAAAAAAATAAAGACCTAATTGTTGTCAATTAACACTTATTATTACTATTTTTAAAATCTGAAGCATGTCTAGCAGGTGAATGTAGAAAGCTCAAATACTTGCCATGCCCACTTCCTTTGTAACTCCTGCTCCATATCGAATATTTGAAACAGCCATCTGAAAAACAAGATTTGGATTTTGAAAGCATTCTTAACATTGTAAAATGGTTGCCCATTGCCTAGAGAATAAAGCAGATACTCCTTAACATGGCCTTCCAAGTCCCCTCAAACTGGCCTTTACCACATCTCTAAAAAAACCTTGACTCCAATCACACTGGAATTATGTCTTTTCCCAAATACACCACACACTCTCAATTATTCCTTCAGCATCAAAATGCCTGTCTCCTCCCACCTCCACTTAAATTCCCTATCAATTTTTTCCCATTTTCTATTTTCCGTCTTAAATGTTATTTTTTGCCCTTTTATTCACTCACCCAACTATTCATCCCATCATCTATTCTTTCCTCCATCTACCATTGCATCCATCTACCTACCCTTACATTCAGGGATCCATCAACCTATCCTCCTACCCACCAACATTACTGTGTGGCTGCTGTGTTCCAGGCACTGTGCTACTGTGTTTGGCTCTGGAAAAAACTATAAACATGACTTCAAAAGTTTACAACTGAGAAACGAGCCTTTAAACTGATGAATGATGGCCATTTTTGATTGACTACAGTTTTGTTTGATCCATATTATGTTTAATTTTATGAATTGGTTAATAGGTTTTTAAACTCGGTCAAAAGATCCAATGTGACAGTCTGAATTTTGGTTTCTCTTGAAGAATCTGGCCATACTGGGCTTGTGTTCCTACGGTGTTAGCAATGATGGTGGCAGCAGTGGTGTGCTGTCGAGTCACAGAGAGCCTGTATGTGCTGTAAATCTTTAGTGGAGCAGAAAGCTTCATCTTTCTCCCATGGAGCACCTGGTAGATTAGAACTGCTGACTTGGTGGTTAGTAGTCCTGCTCATAATCAACTATGCTACCACGGCAATAGATACTCAGTCATTACTTTGCGCTGAATGGTGGCTGGACCCTTTAGCTGGGGGCGGTGCCCTCAGTGAATTCTGCAGTCCTCACCCAGTTAGGACTGCTCAGTTAGTAACTGTCAGACTCCTGTGATACTTCATTTTATAACTCCTGCACTAGGAGGGAGAAGGACTTCAGCAAATAATTAAAAACAATTTCTTAATTCCAGCGTAGTAAGAATTCACCACAATTAATTATTCCTTTAATCTATTAAACTCCTGGTGTGGTGCTGTGGGATAAAGCAGCGGATCACTAGGTCAGTTTGCACTACAAGGTCAGAGGTTCAAACTCACCAGTTGCTCCTTGGAAACTGACTGGATAGCACTTAACAACAACACTGAAGATAACTTTTGTCTCTTTTGGAATCATTATATTAAGAAAACTAAGGAAGGCTTAGCATATAACATGAGTTTAAGTCAAAAAGTATTACTGCAAAATAGATACCTTTCTTATATAAAAATATCAAAATGTAAAGCAATTTTCTCAACTTATCCTGCATCTAAATCTATATACTTTGGAAGCAGTGTTTCCACCATTCTAACCCTTTGCTGAAGAATGCTGAGCTCTTTCATTTAAATCACATCAAACAGGCATTTTTTGGTAGCTTCAAGGATGACTCAAATCATGTTCTTTTTAAGTGTTTAGGGAACAAAAGAAGTCTAACAGGGGTGAGAACAGGGCTAGAAGGTGGAGTAAGGTTTCCCAATGGAATTCTCACAGGGCAGCACTTGCTACCCTTGAAGCATCATTGTTGTGTTGGGAAAAAATTCTACAGTGAAACTTTTCCTGACCTTTTTCTCACCGATGCGGTTTTCAATTTTCTTGAACCTTCTTTATAACAAATCCCCATGATCGTCCTGAGTCCTTTGATGAAATCTATCAATACTTCCCCTTTGGAGACCCATCCCCCCCCAGAAACCAGTCACTATAACGTCTGAGCTGACCTCTTTGCCTTGAATTTAACTGGCCCCATAGATCCCTTGTAAGCACTGTTGTGACTGGACCTTTTTTCAGAAGGCATTCTAAGAAGACTAAGACAAGTGTCACACTGAGAGAACTTATCTGTCACCAGCCACTGACCACAGAAACATGTTTAAGCACATTTTGTTTGGAATAAACCCATGCATTTAGGAACTGGAACACTAGTAGCAATACTTTTGACTTACCCTCATATATAACTTGGAGACTTTGTAGAGGTGGGAATTTATCATATTTTAAAGACAATACAGAAGGTAGCATTCTAGACATTATTCATGTTATCAGAAGACTTACACTCCATTATCCTGACAAGCTATTTTGCTAAAGGCTGATGGGCTAAATAATTAGATTGCTACCAATTAATAACAAATTTAAAGTGAAATAATAAGGCCTTCACAAAATAACTCTAGTTATATTTTCCCAGTCATTTATAAAAGAAAGAACGGGTGGTTAAATCTACCTCAAAGGCATAATCCGTTGTTTTCCCAGAAGCTGAAAGTCCAGGAGCTAGAAATAACAAAAACTGTCATCAGAGAAGGCCTAAAAATAAAGCAAAATATTATTTTTGCTGTTGTTAGGTGCCATCGAGTCGGATCTGACTCATGCAACCCTAAGCACAACAGAACGAAACACGTCCGGTCATGCGCAGTGATCACATTTGGGCCCATTTTCGCTGCCATCTTGTTGGGTGTCTTCCTCTTTTTCACTGACCCTCCACTTTACCCAGCATGACAGCCTTTTATAGGGACTGGTCTCTCCTGAGACTCTATCTGAAGTATGAGAGACAAGTCTTACCGTCCTGGCTTCAAAGGAGCATTCTGGCTGTGCTTATTTGATAGTAAATTGGTATTCTAGTAGTGAACATAAGCATTTCTCTTAAAGTTTTAGCTAAAATAGATTTCTTTTTCAGGTTTCATTGCTACACATTAAATTAAAGTAGAAATTTACATATTAGGGATGAAAATGTAATGCTAATGCTGATTTTTAAAAAAATAATGCTGGTGTGCTGTAGAGTCAGTTCTGACTCATAGCAAACCTGTATAGGGTTCCCAAGGCTGTATATCTTTATAGGAGCAGAACGCCTCCCTTTTCTCCTGAAGAACAGCTGGTGGATTCGAACTGCTGACCTTGCAGTTAGCAGTTTCAAATGTTTTCTCTATTGTAATTAAGATATAGCTTAGAAAACATAATGTGTAAAAAATCCTGGAGAGTCTACATAATTTGTTTAGGGTTTGCTTTCATTACTTGTTGTTGTTGTTGTTAAGTGCTATTGAGTTGGTTCTGACCCATAGTGACCCTGTATAGGGTTTCCAAGGAGCAGCTGGTGAGCTTGAACCACCAACCTTGCAGTTCAAACTGCTTTGCAGTCTGGTGCATTAACCCTCAGCACCACACCAGGACTCCTTTCATTACTTAAACCTCAGTAATTAAAAGCCCACCACTCATTTGTCAGTTTGTCTTACAATGGTGGCTTGTATGTTGCTGTGATTCTGGAAGCTATGCCATGGCTATTTTAAATATGAGCAGGGTCACCCACAGTGGACAGGTTTCAACTGAGCTTCCAGACGAAGACAGACTAGGAAGAAGAAGAGACGATTACTTCCGAATATTTAATTACTGAAAACCTTTTGAATAGCTTGGGAACACTGTCCACACCAGATTATTGAATACTGAAACATGATGAAGAGCACCAGAATATTATCAGATATAGTGCCAAAAGATGAGCCACTCAGGTTGGAAGGCACTCAAAATGCTGCTGGGAAAGAGCTGCCTCCTCAAAGTAGAGTTGACCGTGATGATATGAATGGAGTAAAGCCCTCAGGACTTCATTTGCTGATGGGGCACAACTCAAAATGAAGAGAAACAGCTGCAAACATCCATTAATAATTGGAATATGGAATGTATGAATATAGGAAAATTGGACTTACCAATTGGCTATGGTCTTTGATCTTCCAATGAGGCTATGGAAGATCAAAGACCATAGCCTTTAGCATAGGTTGCATCTCAATATAAACAAAAAAACAACAACAACACAAAAATCCTTACCCCTGGACCAATAAACAACATCCATATAAGTGGAGAAAAGATTGAAGTTGTCAAAGACTTTTCTTGGTTCAACCATCAACACTCATGGAAGCAGCAGTCAAGAAACCAAACGATGTATCGCATTAGGCCAATCTGCTGCACAAGATCTTTTTAAAGTGTTGAAGAGCAAAGATGTCAGCTTGAGGACTAAGGTGCGCCTGACCCAAGCCATAGTATTTTCAATAACCTTGTATGCATGTGAAAGTTGGACAGTGAATAAGGAAGACCATAGAAAAATTGATGCATTTGAGTTATGGTGGAGAATACTGAAAGTACCAGGGACTTCCAAAAGAACAAACAGATCTGTGTTAGAAGAAGTACAGCCAGAGTGCTTCCTAGAGGCCAAGATGGCCAGACTTTGTCTCTCATACTTTGGACATATTGTCAGGAGGGACCAGTCACTGGAGAAGGATATCATGTTTGGTAAAGTGGAGGGTCAGGAAAAAAGAGGAAGACCACTGATAAGATGGATTGGCACAGTGGCAGCAGTGATGGGCTCAGGTGTAGCAGAGATTGTTATGTTGGTCCAGGATGGGACAGTGTTTCATTCTGTTGTGCATAGGGTCACTTTGAGTTGGTACTGACTCGATAGCACCTACAACAAACAAATTAAAGCCACATAACAATCAAAGTCACAGTTAAAGGTCCAAATTGTGGTATGGTTGGAGAACAACCATTAGTAAATTCATTAATTAGCGTTCTGCTTATACTTAAGTTGTTACTGTTGCTAAGTGACATTAAGTTAGTTCTGACTCATAGTAACCCTGCAAAGGGTTTCCAGGGAGTGGCTGGTGGGTTTGAACCTCCAACTTTGCAGTTAGCAGTCCTACAGAGCCACACTAGGACTCCATACTTCTCATTGCAACCGTCAGAAATTGCTTTTCATAGAGGTAACTTGTCACAGTAAGATACTTACATTTTTAAAGTATGACAATAAAAATAATAGTTTTCTTTATGACATTTAATTTAAAAATGTATAGTGTAGTTCTTTGTAAAGTAACAAGTTTTAATTATGATAAATATGATTTTCTGGCATACTGGAAAAAGACAAGGGACCCAATTAATGAATTTGTTCCTTGTCTTTATCTACTTATTCACATCAGTCCTGGTCAGTCATAAGGTAAACATCTAAATAACATTTTTCTCTACCATTTTTTAAATACAAAGAGACCACACCTAGACGAAAATTGACCTTTGGCTTCTCAAGCGTGATGGCATCCTTAATCAAAATTCAATTTTCTTTGGTTCTGACAGGCTTTAAAGAAATGAATCTATTATCACCGTTACTAAAATTTAGCAAAGACATAAAGTGAATTCTAGATAATAGATTATTTTTCTCTAAACTATTAATTTTATTCCACCTAACAGGAGATTACTGATTCTTTGTTTTACTTAAGTTTTACTTAATATAAAATTGTAGAAAACCAGCTGATCTTTAAAATCCTTCATATGCCCAGGAGGTTTGTCAGGGCTGATCATGTTTCTACTAGTAGATGGTGGTCCCTTGGCTTGGGGCATTCCATGGGCAGAAAAAACATCAGGTAGCTAGTTGTTCTTTCTCTTCTTCGCCCAGCAGACTTCTCTGTGTCAGCTTCAGCTCCTGAATGGACAAGAACACTTTCTATTCCTCACCTTCCTGTTTAGATTTGGCCTTTGCTTCCTAGCGCCTAAATCAGCTTTTGTGCCAGTAATTCATATTATATTCTGAAGACAAAAATGGGCTTCCTCCTGCTCTGTGGATAGTGGAGTTTGGAGAGGATTAAGAAGCTGGTAAAAACTGAACATTTTTATCATTTTTTTTTCTTTACTATTTATTATTGTTGTTGTTGTTGTTGTTAAGTGCCATCAAGTTGGTTCTGACCCATAGTGACCTTATATGCAGCAGAACAAAACACTGCCAGATCCTGGGCCAACCTCACTACTGTTGTCACGCTTGCGTCCATCAATGCTGCTACTTGGCCAATCCATCTTGTTGGTATGATATCCTTCTCCAGTGATGCTTTTGAGTTATGGTGTTGGAGAAGAATACTGAAAGTGCCATGGGCTGCCAAAAGAACCAATAGATCCGTTTTAGAAGAAGTGCAGCCAGAGTGCTCCTTGGAGGCCAAGATGGCCAAACTTCATCTCTCATACTATTTATTATAGTTTGGGTGAAAGATTACAGAGTAAATTAATTTTCCTTCAACAATTCATACACATTTTGGTTCAACTAATTTTGTTACATTGGTTGAAATCCCCTCCATGTAACAGCACTCTTTCCACTTCCTCCCTGGGTCCCCCAACTCCATTTGTCCTTCATTCCTGCCACTTCCTGCCTGTTGAGCAATGCTGCCCTTTGGTTTCATATGGTCGACTGTACAGAGAAATACATTATTCACTTTCTAGGCCTATCTGTTGTTTGGTTCAAGTTTGGGAGTGGTGCTGTAGGAAAAGCACTGGACTGCTAACT